CCACTCTCAGCGGAGTCTGGAACTTAGCCGCAAGGGAATCCCATTCTCTATTGGCCTCCATCACCAGGTACCTGATCGCTGCAGAGGTTGAAGGGGGGTGGGGGGGGGGTCAGCCTGCCAGTGCTCAGACCATACGCTGCACACTGCATCAAATTGGTCTGCAAGGCTGTCATCCCAGAAGGAAGCCTCTTCTAAAGATGATGCACAAGAAAGCCCGCAAACAGTTTGCTGAAGACAAGCAGACTAAGGACATGGATTACTGGAACCATGTCCTGTGGTCTGATGAGACCAAGATAAACGTATTTAGTTCAAATAGTGTCAAGCATGTGTGGTGGCAACCAGGTAAGGAGTACAAAGACAAGTATGTCTTACCTATAGTCAAGCATGGTGGTGGGAGTGTCATGGGGCTACATAAGCTACAGTTCATTGAGGGAACCATAAAAAATTGAGTACGGTCCGTGATACTTTTTTTATTTGCACTAACATACAATTTTGAGGACAAGCTTTCGGGGTATGTCCCCTTCTTCAAGGTCTAAGCATGGCAGTACTATTACAAATCACAAAGTTTAAGCAGAATGTTAGAAGGGATTGAGAAAAAAAAAAAAAAAAAAGGCTACAGATACGATACATCAAAAGCGAGGGGGGGAGATACTACACTCACACAGAGGGGGTCAAGCTTTAGCTAATAGATAGTCATAAAGCTGTCGGATAATGGTTGAGGAATCCCATGTCAAGCAAAATTGAGGGAACCATGAATGCCAACATGTACTGTGAAATACTGAAGCAGAGCATGATCCCCTCCCTTCAGAAACTGGGCCACAGGGCAGTATTCCAACAAGACGATGAGAGAAGTATATGTGTAAGAACACTCACATAGATAAATTATATATAGGCATAAAAACCGTGGTAAATCGGTTAGGGTGGTCTTCAGGGTGAAAAGCTGTCATGTCTGCTGCGGTGTGGAATTTTGAGCGGTCAGCTTGCCGCTGGAGCAGCGTGGTAGCTGGAGAACAGCGGTGAGGCTGGTCAGCGTGCACGTCCTCCCTCTGAGCTTGGTAGAACACACGTGCTGGAACGCAGCGGCGGCGTGGCCGTGATGACGTCAGATACCCAGGGTGCACTGCAACGCGTTTCAGAGTATGAACTGGCCGTGCAAGGCGGAAGTGCGCTCCTTTTTCAAGCAGGGGGAAGTGGAGATGCGGGGGGTGGATTTATGAGAAGCAAGGGGGGCCAATTAAGCAATTAACCAATTATACAATGGAAGAAATACATCAATGGAAAAAAGTACATAAAATGGAAAAAGTGATTTGTCGCTGTCACAAGGTGAAAAGATGGGGAAAAAAATACAGAAGGGAAAAGGAAAAAATGTAAAAGGGAATTCAAAAAAGGAAAAGGTTATAGAATGTAGTGGAAAAATATATATAAAAAAAATGGTAAAAATGAAAAAATTATAAAAATAAATAAAAAAATATATAAATAATAGTAGTAATAAATAGATAAAAAATGGATGAATAAAAGATTGAAAAAAAAAAAAAAATTACTAATATGGATGCAAATAGAAAAATAATGGGTAAAAAATTAAATATGAAGAATAAGTTATAAAAAAGTTATGAAGAATAAAAAGCCTCTAAAGTTATGTACATTGTCTAGGGCTAAAATATTCCCATTTATGAATTTTTACGACTTTATGCATCCATTTAGTAAAATTATTTTTACCGGATTCTGTTTATTCATCCCCGGATTATTATAAACTCTAGCAGTGCTTCCACTATAATTGGTTCCCCCGGATGCATCTCTCCTAAAGAATTGGTGGACTGCATACACAACAATATTGACACACTTATGGGGCCCCAATTTGGACATTTTTCACTTTAGGGGTGGACTCACTTTTATTTCCAGCAGTCTCAGAAACCCTGATTAATGGCCTGTGTCCCAGAGTTTAATTTAGAGGGGACACAAATTTTTAGTTATACAAGCTGTAACAACACACCACTTTAACTTTGAACCTTTTCTAAAGTGTCATTTCTTCAGATGGCTGTCATATGAATAAAGATTGTAATAAAAATATTTTACAAAAAAATGTGAAGGGTGTACTCACTTCTGTGAGATACTGTGTGTGTCACCCACCACCTGGCGGAGTGCTAGTCAGCAAGGTCAGGATCAAGCAAAAGGACGGCAACTTTCGGAATAACACTCCAAAGACAGAATGCAGGAACTAGTGGTAATCGCTGACCAAACATCAATGTTACTTACCTGTAAATCAGTCACACTTATATATCGTGCGCCCTGCCTGCCTGCCATTAAGGTGCCCCATAGTCGCGGTGTCCACACGGATCCCTCGCGAGTGCCAAGGCGTCCGTTAAAGCTGATGCCATGCAGTGCGGGGATCGACCATGTTGTCCTACAAACTTGCCCGCTGGACTAGTGCCGCGTCTCGGCATTCTGCGCATAGTGCCCGCCCCGCGTAATCCATCCGGCGAAATTCCCAGGGTTCCCTGACGAGTTGTGTTAGGTGTCGTGAAATATCTTATATACCGGCTATATGCAGTGAAGCAAACAAGAGTATTTAGTAGATAAAAAAAAATCCAGACAATCACATTGGCTGATTTGGAAAGAATTTATTTGCAAATTATGGTGGAAAATAAGTATTTGGTCACCTACAAAACAAGCAAGATTTCTGGTCTCACAGACCTGTACCTTCTTCTTTAAGAGGCTCCTCTGTCCTGCACTCATTACCTGTATCAATGGCACCTGTTTGAACTTGTTATCAGTAATAAAAAACACCTGTCCACAACCTCAAACAGTCACACTCCAAACTCCACTATGGTGAAGACCAAAGAGCTGTCGAAGGACAAATGCAGAAACAAAATTGTAGACCTGCACCAGGCTGGGAAGACTGAAATCTGCAATAGGGCAAGCAGCTTGGTGTGAACAAATCAACTGTGGGAGCAATAATTAGAAAATGGAAGACATACAAGACCACTGATAATCTCCCTCGATCTGGGGCTCCACGCAAGATTCTCACCCCGTGGGGTCAAAATGATCACAAGAACGGTGAGAAAAAAATCCCAGGACCACACGGGGGGACCCTAGTGAATGACCTGCAGAGAGCTGGGACCAACGTAACAAAGGCTACCATCCATCAGTAACCACACTACGCAGCCAGGGACTCAGATCCTGCAGTGCCAGATTTAGTGTCCCCCTGCTTAAGCCAGTACATGTCCGGGCCCGTCTGAGAATTTTTTCTTTTTCTAGAGAGCATTTGGATGATCCAGAAGAGGATTGGGAGAATTTCATATGGTCAGATGTATGAAAACCAAAAATAGAACTGTTTTGGTAGAAACACAACTCGTCGTGTTTGGAGGAGAGAGAATGCGGAGTTGCATCCAAAGATACACCATACCTACTGTGAAGCATGGGGTGGCAACATCATGCTTTGGGGCTGTTTCTCCGCAAAGGGATCAGGACGACTGATCCATGTACAGGACATGAATGAATGTGGCCATGTATCGTGAGATTTTGAGTGCAAACCTCCTTCCATCAGCAAGGGCATTGAAGATGAAACCTGGCTGGGTCTTTCCAACATGACAATTTTGATCCCAAACATACCGCCCTACGAGCAACGAAGGAGTGGCTTCGTAAGAAGCATTTCAAGGTCCTGGACTGGCCTAGCCAGTCTGCAGATCTCAACCCCATAGAAAACCTTTGGAGGGAGTTGAAAGTCTGTGTTGCCCAGCGACAGCCCCAAAACATCACTGCTCTAGAGGAGATCTGCATGGAGGAATGGGCCAACATACCAGCAACAGTGTGTGCCAAACCTTGTGAAGACTTTACAGGAAACGTTTGACCTCTGTCATTGCCAACAAAGGATATATAACAAAAAAAAAAAAGTATTGAGATGAACTTTTCAAATTGACCAAATACTTATTTTCCACCATAATTTGCAAATTAAATTCTTTCCAAATCAGCCAATGTGATTGGATTTTTTTTTCTCATTTTGTCTCTCATAGTTGCGGTCTAACCTATGATGCCCAATTACAGGCCTCTCTCATCTTTTTAAGTGGGAGAACTTGCACAATTGGTGGCTGACTAAATACTTTTTTTGCCCCACTGTGTATGATATAATATGTTAATATATATATATATATATATATATATATATATATATATTATATCGTATTTTTTCTGGCGTATAAGACGACGACTGGGCGTATAAGGCGACCCCCTACTTTTTCCTGTTAAAATATAGGGTTTGAGCTATACTCGCCGTATAAGACTACCCCCTCTTCCAACGCACACACCAAGATAAAAATGAAAAAACACAGATTGAGAATCAGATTTTGATTTCAATATGGTATGCTATTTCAAGTTATATCTATTCCAATGATGGACACTATTTCCTCTCCTACTGACACCAATGATGGGGCACGATTCCTCCCACTGATACCAATGATGAGGCACTACTCCTCCCACTGACCAATGGACAACCAATGATGGGGCACTATTTTCATCCACTGACACCAATGATGGGGCACTATTCCTCCCACTGACTAATGATGGGGCACTATTCCTCCCACTGACTAATGATGGGGCACTATTTCCTCCCACTGACACCAATGATGGTGCCCCATCATTAGTGTGAGTGTGTGAGGAATAGTGTTCCATCATTAGTGTCAGTGGGAGGAAATAGTGCCCCATCATTAGTCAGTGGGAGGAATAGTGTCCCATCATTGGTATCAGTGGGGAGAATAGTGTGCCCCATCATTGGTGTCAGGTGGGGAGGAGGAATAGTGCCCATTCGTTGGTGTCAGTGGGGGAGGAGGAATAGTGCCCCATCGTTGGTGTCAGTGGGGAGGAGGAATAGTGCCCCATCGTTGGTGTCAGTGGGGAGGAGGAATAGTGCCCCATCGTTGGTGTCAGTGGGAGGAGGAATAGTGCCCCATCGTTTCAGGTGTGTCAGTGGGGCTTCAGGAGGAATAGTGCTCTATCATATATGTGTCAGTGGGAGGAATAGTGCCCCATCATTGGTATCAGTGGGAGGAATAGTGCCCCATCGTTGGTGTCAGTGGGGAGGAGGAATAGTGCCCCATCGTTTGGTGTCAGTGGGGAGGAGGAATAGTGCCCCATCGTTGGTGTCAGTGGGGAGGAGGAATAGTGCCCCATCGTTGGTGTCAGTGGGGAGGAGGAATAGTGCCCCATCGTTGGTGTCAGTGGGGAGGAGGAATAGTGCCCCATCGTTGCTGTCAGTGGGGAGTAGGATTGGTCAGTGTGGAAGGTGAATAGTGCCCCATCCATCAGTTGGTAGTCTGCCCCATCTCAGTGGGGAGGAGGAATAGTGCCCCATCGTTGGTGTCAGTGGGGAGGAGGAATAGTGCCCCATCGTTGGTGTCAGTGGGGAGGAGGAATAGTGCCCCCATCGTTGGTGTCAGTGGGGAGGAGGAATAGTGCCCGTCCATCGTTGGTGTCAGTGGGGGAGGAGGAATAGTGCCCCATCGTTGGTGTCAGTGGGGAGGAGGAATAGTGCCCCATCGTTGGTGTCAGTGGGGAGGAACAACATGTGCCCTCATCGTTGGCGTCAGTGGAGGAGGAAATAGTGCCCCATCGTTAGTGTCAGTGGGGGTTGAGAGCATGCGGCTGCTCGTTCTTTCAGATTTTCGTGGGGGGGGCTTCCGCTCGGCTCTCTGCCTCCTGGCCGGTGATTGGTCGCCTGTGTGCCTTTCCAGTGCTGGCACCCAATCACCGGTGAGGAGACGGAGCGAGCGGACCGAAAACTGAAAAGAAGGAGCAGCTGCGCTTCCTGGACCGGATCGTCGTGGGACCGGGACCGGAGCCAGGTAAGGTACAGCAGCCCCTCTGCCCACCCCTGTACTTAGTGTCCGTTGAAGGAGGAGGGGGGGGGGGCGGCGCGGCGCCGCTCGCTCAAAAAAGTGCCGCCCTGACACCGGCTCACCGTATACCGGCGTATAAGACGACCCCCGACTTTTCAGAAGTTTTTCTTGTGTTGAAAAGTCGTCTTATACGCCGGAAAATACGGTATATATTATATATATATATATAATATATATATATATATATATAGATAATATATAATATATAGATATATATACACACACACATTAGATATTTGTTCAGATTGTATGTATACTAAGTTACGTACAAGTGGTCACACACAATTTGGATATTAGCAGTACAGTATCATTCACTAGTTAATACACCAGCCAAAGTGTTGCCATACTAGTGTAGCTAAAAATCAGTGCTCCTGACCCTGACTGCCACCAACACCAGACAAGTGCAGGAAGCACAGTTTTCCTGATTGCCAGCACACCAGTCCCCTTGGTAATCACTTGACTAGGGTAAGATAGCAACAGTGTTCCTGATCATCGCAACATCAGCCCCACTGTCACCAGAACAGTGTAAGCCAGCATAAGTGTTCTTGATCACTGCCACACCAATGGCAGTGTCACTAGAGCCAGTGCAGCTAGCAACAGTGCCCCAGATTGTCACCACACATCAGTCAAGTGTAAGCCAGAAAACTGTGTTCCTGAATCACCACGATACCAGTCCTGGTGTTGCCAGAACAGGTGTAAGTGGGCAACAATGTTAATGAGCGCCATTACACCAAATGCAGTGTTGCCTCTGCCTGCTGCCTGTGACTGACCCGGGTCTTTTGTCCCACATCTCTGCCTGTGGCTTAAACTGACCCATCAACATGTCTTGCTGACTACACTCCTGTGAGACACCAGTCCCAGCCATTCCCTGCAGATAACTGCGCTGCTGGAACCACAGAAACTCTTGTTTACATTTTGTTCAGCCTCCTGTACTTTCTGGACAGTAAATGTTGCGGCAGCCATGTACCAGAAGGATAGGCTTACTTTGCTTATGGGAATCAGGACTTCCATAGCTGATGCTACACTACGCTATATTTCCTGATCACCCCATACTGAGGCAAGCATTACAGTACACTTTTTTATGCACTGGTTTGTTTTTGTGACACACAAGATACAATGACCTGGACGTAAACAGTCCAAACACTGAAAAAATCTAACACATGTGGTATACCCATACTAATGGAGGAACAGCACAATGTATTTTGGAGTGAAATTCTAAGCATGCCAATGCTGTATTGAGAAATATTTTAATAAATTGACAACTTTGTATAAAAAAAATAAATAAATAAAACACATTTTCATTTTCTTTCCACCTTTGACAAAAACTTGTGGCAAAAAAAAAAAGTTATCCTCAAAAGACTCACCATGCCTCTAATTAAATATGTTGGAGGATCTACTTTGGAAAATGTCGCAATTTTGAAGGCATTTCTCCTGTCCTGGCTTGTAAGGGCCTCCAGAAATATGTTAGGTAGTCAGGAAATCAGGTCAATTATTTATGCTCCTTTAATCACTTCCCGTCCGTCCGGCCGCTGTTTATGAACGGCAGGACGGGACACCTCCAGGAGCGGGTTGCCGTTTCTAAACGGCACCTTGTATCTGAGGCTCGTGCGCGGCTCCTAGAACGCGCACCCGCGAGCCCAATGATCGCCCAATGATCGCCGAGTCCAACGGACACACGGTGAATTACGTGACATGGTATAGGACCAATGAAATCGGTCCCATACCATGTGATCAGCTGTGTCCAATAAGGACACATCTTAAGTGTAAACAAAAGCTGCATGGTGCGGCTTCCGCCTCCGTCTCCTCACACGGAGTTTGTCTGTGAGAGGAGAGGAGCAAAGAAGAGGTAGTAGCTAACTGCCCTCCACCTCAGTGACACCTGATCACCCCAACAAGTGTCCCTGATTGCCCACACAAGTTGCCCTGATCGCCCCTAAAGTGGCCCTGATCGCCCACAAGTGTAGCTTGATTGCCCCACGTGTCCCTAATCGCCCACAAGTGGCCCTGATTGCCCCACGTGGTGTCCCTGATCACCCCCAACAAGTGGCCCGGATTGCCCCACGTGTCCCTGATCACCCCAACAAGTGGCCCTGATTGCCCATAAGTGGCCCCTGATTGCCCCCATAAGTGGCCCTGATTGCCCCCATAAGTGGCCCTGATTGCCCCCATAAGTGGCCCTGATTGCCCCCATAAGTGGCCCTGATTGCCCCCATAAGTGGCCCTGATTGCCCCCATAAGTGGCCCTGATTGCCCCCATAAGTGGCCCTGATCGCCCCCAATAAAGTGGCCCCTGATCGCCCACACGTGTCCCTGATCGCCCCACACGTGTAGCTTGATTGCCCCACGTGTCCCTGATCACCCACAAGTGTCCCTAATCGCCCACCTACAATGTGGCCCTGATTGCCCCACGTGTCCCTGATCACCCCAACAAGTGGCCCTGATTGCCCACGTGTCCCTGATCACACACAACAAGTGGCCCTGATCACCCCAACAAGTGGCCCTGATTGCCCGCTGTCACGTGTTCCCCCTGATCACACCAACAAGTGGCCCTGATCACCCCCAACAAGTGGCCCTGATTGCCCACGTGTCCCTGATCACACCAACAAGTGGCCCTGATCGCCCACAAGTGGCCCTGATCGCCCCAACAAGTGGCCCAGCAGTGTCCCCTGATTGTCAGTGTCCCCTGATCGCCACATAGTGGCCCCCAGCAGTGTTCCTGATCGCCACAGTGTCCCTGATCGTTGCAGTGTTCCTGATCACCACACCAACTGGCCAAGCATGTGTCCTGATCGTCCACACAAGTGGCCCAGGCAGTTGTCCCTGATCACCGCATGTGGCCCAAGCAGATGTCCCTGATTGCCACACAAGTAGTGCCCAGCAGTGTCCCGTGATAGCTCTCATGCCGCCGCAGTGGCCCAGCAGTGTCCCTGATCACTGCCGTGTCCCCTGATTGCCCGCACAA